ATTGTTATAATTTTATTGATTTTTAGAAAGAAACTTTTCTTTTCCAATTATTATCATACTGTATGTCATATTTTTTTGTTTAGGAAGAGTGAATCATTTTATAAAGTTGAAGAAGTTAATATCCTTGCTCAATTTTATAACGATGTTGCAAATATTTCAAGCATTAGTTTGACATATTTCCGGAGCTCAAGCTTGAAATGTCCCACATGTGAATATAAGATTCAGCGTATCATGTTAAAATCACTTACATATCCAGAAAGGTAAGGAAGCAAAGTTATCATTTTACGTGCTTTCTTTCAAAGTTTAAAATAGTGGTTTATTAAGGAATGATTTACTCATGGGCTGAAATGTTTCACATTTTGGAATATCTCATAAAAATTAGAATTAAAAACTAGAATAAAGTATTTCATGCTTCTGTCCTGATGTACTTCCCTCTTATCATTCTACAAATCTTGTTCTTGCTCTTAGGCACCAGTAAATCAGTGCTGTCTCATAGCAATCCTCTGTAAAACAACTGAAACACTGTCTGATCCTGCAGCATCCTCATATCCATTGCTATGTTCCAGTTTAGAGTTGCTGCCACTGTGTCAGTTCATCTCCATGAATCTTCCTCTTTTTCACAGAAGATCTAGTCATTGTTGTTGTTTTTATGTACCAACTAGTTAGAACTAACTCATAGCTAAGCTTTCATTAGAAAAATCTTCCTCTTTTTCACTGAATCTTTTATCATGCAAAATGTTCTACTCCAGGGACCAGCCCCCCACCCCCAAGGAGGGGCTAGGTTTTGTTGCTGTTTTTAGGTATTATCTAGTTGGAACCAATTCATAACAAAGCTTTCATTGGGTTTTCAGAAGCAGTCAATCACACAGGAGTTGATAGTATATATTTCTCACATGGAATAATTGGTGGCTTCCAACCATGTGTCTCTGGATTGACAGCAGAACTTCTTACCCACTAGGTCACCAGAGCCCCTTCTCCAGAGTATAGCCTCTGCAAATAAATGAGAAGAATTTTTATCTTCATCCTTCCTAAGGAACATTATGGTTCTTCTTTTTTGGCGGGGGCGGGAGGCAGGGGGAGCCCATATTATAATAAGTGTTATTCAATACCAACATGATTCTGTCCATCCTTTCTTATTTGGTCTTCATAAATCTTGTTGCTATTTTGGGCCATCAAGTCAGAACTGACTCATAGATTACCCTCTAGTGAGTTTTCAGAGGCTGTAAATTGCCTAACTTTATCCCAAGAAGCAGTTGATTATTTTTAACCACTTGCTTTTGAGTTTGCAGTGCAGCACCTTTCCACTCGGCCACCTGAGAGCGCATAATAAATTAACTAGAGAGTAAAAAAAGGATAAAAATGAAAAGTTATAAGAATATGCACTTACAAAATATGTGTACTGTACAGCCTTCAATATGGATAGAAGCTCAACATCAAGAAAACAAAGATTCTTACCACTGGGCCGATTAGCAGTATCATGATGGATGATGAAGAGATTGAGATTGTTAACAGCTTTAGTTTGCTTGGCTCCACAATCAACACTTGACACCAATAGTTAGGAAAAGATGAATTGCATTGGGGAAGTCTGCTGTCAGAGACATCTTCAGAGTAATGAAAAACAACGATGTCAGTCTGGAGACTAAAGTGTGTCTGATCCGGGCCATGGTCTTCACAATTACATGCTATGTATCAGAAGCCTATGTATCAGAAGCTGGACAATGACTAAAGATGATAGAAGGAGAATTGATGCCTTTGAATTATAGTGCCGGAGAAGTGTACTGAATATACCATGGATTGCTAGGAGAACAAACAGGTTTGTCTTGGAGAGGATGAAACCAGGCTACTCCTTGGAGGCAAGGATTTTGAAACTCCAACTGGCATTCTTTGAGCATGTTGCAACGAGGGACCAGTCCTTGATTATTATACTTGGGAGGGTGGAGGGTGAGTGCAGTAAGGAAAGACCCTCAATGAGATGGATTGACTCAGTGACTGGAGTAATGGGGTAGGTGTGTTGGAGACAGAGAGTTTAGCTCAGGATGGAGCAGGGTTCGGAGCTATTGTGCATATGAATCACAAGTGACTCGACTGCACATAACAACAATAAAAACAACAACCAGAGACTGATTGAGAAATATCCTTTAAATATCTAATTCTTGTTATGACAGAATTCTATTTAAAATTCAATAAAGAACATGTCAACAAATACCTGGAAGTAACTTCATTGCCCTTGGCATACTTCTGTTTCATTAACATACTTATGAAAATATCAAATTATATGGCTATTTTTAGCAGACACATTAGCAGCTTACCTATCAAAATATCAGTGAAAGAGAGAAGTGCTGTGAAGGATAAGAAAGAGGAAGATTTTTCATCTGCAACCCGTCTACTCATTTATAACCTTAAAACTTGTAGGCCTCCACAAAATCTAAATATGTGGAAAAAAGGAAGGTTTTTAAGAGGCTAATGTGGTTTTACTATCATGTTGTGTTTTTTCATTAATGCCTCTTTGAGTAGAAAACAGATGGGTAGAAAGAGGAAAGTCTAGATAATGTAGATATCTGAAACTGAGGAGGACTTGAAACACTTGCTACATAAGGTCAAGGACTCCAGCCTTCAGTAAGTATTGAAGCTCAACATCAAGAAAACAATGATTCCCACCACTGGGCCAATTGGCAGCATTAGTATGGATGGTGAAGAGATTGAGATAGTTAACAGTTTCAGTTTACTTGGCTCCACAGTCAACACTCTTGGTAGCAGCATCCAGGAACTCAAGAGATAAATTGGGAAAGTCATCTGTGAGGTACCTCTCAAGAAAACTGAAGAGAAACGACATCAGGCTTGAGACTAAGGTGCCCCTGATCTGGGCTATAGTCTTCTCAATTATGTCGTATGCATTGGAGAGTTGGACAGTGACTAGGGATGATAGAAAGGTAATTGATGCCTTTGAGCTGTGGTGCTGGAGAAGAGTGTTGAATATACCATGGACTGCTAGGAGAACAAACAGGTTTGCCCTGGAGAGGGTGAAGCCTGAATGCTCCTTGGAGTCAAGGATTCTGATGGTTTGTCTGACATACTTTGTGTTGCCGACGGTGAGGTTGGCACAGGATAAGGCAGCATTTAGGGCTCTTGTACATAGGGTCGCTATGAATCACAAACGACTCAACAATACATAACAACAACAACTCTTGGAATTTAAGTTTAAGGAATTAATTTTGTCAAGATGTAAATCTTGACCTGAAGTTAAAAATTTAGATGTTGTTGTTATGTGCCGTCGAGTCTCTTGCGACTCATAGCAACCCTATGTACAACAGCCCTAAACTCCGCTCTGTCCTGTGCCAATCGCACTGTCTCTGACACTCCCATCCCAATTATCCCAGTCACTGAATCAATCCACCTCATAGAGGGCCTTCCTCTCCTGCGCTGTCCCTCCACCCTCCCAAGCATGATGTCCTTCTCCAAGGACCTGTCTCTCCTCACAACATGTCCAAAGTATGTTAGACGGAGCCTCAGAATCCTTGCCTCCAAGGAGCCACCCGGTTTAACCTTTTCCAGGTCATATCTGTTTGTTTTCCTAGCAGTCCATGGTATTCTCAATACTCTTCTCCAGCACCACAGCTCAAAGGCATCAATTCTCCTCCTATCCTCCTTGGTCATTGTCCAACTCTCTGATGCATAACAAGTGATAGCAAAGACCATGGCCTGTATCAGACACACCTTAGTCTCCAGAGAGACACCATTGCTCTTCACTACTTTGGAGAGGTCCCTAACAGCAGACTTTCCCATGGCAATGCGCCTTTTAATTTCCTGGCTGCTTTTGCCAAGACTGTTGACTGTGGAGCCAAGCAAGCTAAAGCTGTGTACAATCTCAATATCTTCACTATCCACCCTGATGCTGCCAAATGGTCCAGTAGTGAGAATCTTTTTCTTCTTGACATTGAGCCTCAATCCATATTGTAGGCTGCAGTCCTTGACACTCTGCAGCAGGTGCTTCAGGTCTTCTTCAGTTTCAGCAAGCAGGGTTGTGTCATCCGCATAACGCAGATTGTTGATAAATCGTCCACCAATCTTGACCCCACATTTCTCCTCATAGAGCCCAGCCCCCCAGATAATCTGTTCTGCATATAGGTTGAAAAGGTATGGAGATAGGATGCATTTTCTTTTCCCCCCCTAGCATTTAAAGTCAATATGAGAAAGAGAAATGTAATTCCATACATACAGATGGTGAAGGATAACAAGTCCATTTAATGAGCAAATGTCAGGCCTACCTTCTTCTTTCATAATTAAATAAGCAAGCAATAAAATAAATTATAACAGTAAAGATAAAATGAGGCTTAATAGAAAATGTGAGGTTTAATACAATTTTCAGCAATAGGAATAAGGAAATACAGCAATTAAGATATAGATGAAGGGTTTACTTTTTTAAAATTAACTGTGAGAATTAATACAATGATTTATTCATTGAAAGTACATTTTAATAACTATTAACAATAACTATACACATGGATCTCACCTGATAGAAGACACAGGAAACAGATTGACTACATCTATGAAAACAGTCTTGCTCCAATGACTTACATCCGTGGGCTTGGAGTCCTTGCTTTCCTGGCCTTGGCCACATTTCTTTGTTTCATCTTCATTGGCTTCTCTCTCACACACATTCTTTACTGTGCTGAAGATCCCAACTCCTGAAGGTAGAGTCAAAGCTTTTCTATCTGCCTGCCACACCTACATGTTGTCACATTATTTTTCTTTCCTGGAGCTTTTGAGTTTCTTAAAGTTCTTTATGACTCTCCAAGTGGACAAGACTTTTTGCTATTGTTGACATGGAAAGAGACAGTAGAAGAATTTAACTTGAGTTAGTTAAGTAAACTAGTGTCTTCCTAGAAACATGTCCATTTCATCTAAGTTATCTAATTTGTTGTCATACAATTGTACATATTATCACTTTGTTGTTATATGTTATCAAATTGCCTGAAACTCATAGCACCCCTATGTACAGCAGCTCTGAGCTATGCTCTATTCTGAGCTAGTCTCACTGTCTCTGACACACCTACCCTCATTATCCCAGTTACTGTGTCAATCTATCTGATCCAGGATCTTACTCTCCTGTGCTGTCCCTCCACTCTTCTAAGCAAGGATGTCCCTTTCCAGGGACTGATCCCTCTTGGCCACATGCTCAAAGTATGTGAGACAGCTTCAAAATCTTTGCCTCCAAAGAGCAGCTTGGTTTCACTATCTCCAGGATAAACCTGCTTGTTCT